AAACACAAAAATTAAAGAACACACTCACTGTAAAACAGATTGTTCACTGCCTGTTTGTTAAGAAATCTGTAATAAATTTCATTATTTTCAGATGTCAGATATTGAGTCTAACTTTGAATTGCTTTGTTCTATCAAATAGCCACAAATATCCCATTAAGAGTTTTTCCAAATGTAAAACATAAGAACCAGTTTGTTAAATTTATCTTGTTTTCAACTTTTATAGCCATCATTTTAGTCTTATTAATGTTTTATTTAAATGTTTCACGATTAATATAATCAATTATTCTGCAATATGAAAAATATATATTCTATCAAATTTTATTGCTTTTTTTTATCTGTCATTAACGACTACATAGGGGGTTCATCAATTTTTTTCGGACCTTTCTTTTGGTTCGCGAGGAAAAAAAGGTTGGGAAACACTGCTCTAGAGAATGGAGGGGTTCGATTTTCTCTTATTTTTACTGACGGAAGGAATGGGGAAAGCGGAAAGTATATCTACGTAAGATGGAAATTATATTATAATAAATCGTATTATAACGCAGTTACTATTCCATCTGCTTATTTGAATAAGTCCCGTATACATCCGTATGTGCATGTTGCGGTCAAAACTCATAACCAGTCAAAACCACTTTTAACTCCGAAAATCAGCTAGAAGTAGTTCTGTCTGAGGACGTTGATCAAAACCACTTCGTACTGGGAGAATATTAGTATTAGTGATTTTGACTAAATGTTATCAGTTAAAAACCAAGAATATTAGTCAAAACCACTTTATATTGAGAACATTTAATAAAGATTGAAATCGTTTAAGCCTTAGTATAAAGCGTTCGCTCTTTTCATTTCTACTCATTTTCTAGTAATTATACAATATTTTACGTTACAATGGAACATACAAGTGGCTTTTCAAAAGGTGGTTCACAGGCCTCATACAATTTCGATTGAATTTTGCATAGACAAAGCACTCTTAAAGATGACATCTTACTCAATTTTTCTAGTAATTTTCACTAATTTCCATAACTTTTTCTGAGTTTTAAGCGATAGTCTGAACTTTAAATCAGGCAAAATCACGCAAAATCACTTCTGATTAAGGACGTCAATCAGAACCACTTTTGATTAAGAACGTTGGTCAAAACAAACCAATTACAAACCAAACCAAAAGCCACCTTTACCTGGTTTCCGAAATTACAAGTAGTTTTTATCAGTTATGAATTTTGACTGTAATATTCGTAAACGTATGAGTAATTATTTATTAAGAAGCTCACTATGAAAGTCAGTCATTTCTAGGTGATGTATGCACCGGGGAATATGATAAAATGATATATATAACTGATTAAATTCCGAAAATGGTCTTATTCAATTCTATTACTTATATTTCAGGAACAATTTTTGTTCAGGAGGAATTAAATCATGAAAGTCGTACTTGCCGGAAACCTCCCTTTCAAGAGATAAAAAACCGATAGTCTGCATATGGGTCATTCCACCAAATAAAATCGGGGCGACCCTCCCTGATTATGTTCAAAATTTGTGGAGAATACAGTACAGTACAGTACAAAATACGGTTTTAGATTAAAAAAGTTTTCCTCAGTAAAAAAATTGATGAAAAAGTTGAAAAAAAAAATTTCCAAAATTTCAAAAAATCAAAACTCCGAAACCGCTGCATATTAAGGGCTAACATTTTCAGGGAATTTTTTTCTTATGACAGAGAACATCTCCACAAATTTTGAACATAATCCGGGAGGGTCGCCCCGTAAAAATGATTTTATTTGGTGGAATGACCCATATATATTAATCGACCGGTATGACCTAGAGGTTTAGACCTTTGCTTAGCATTCGGGAGGACGCTGGTTCAATTCCGTGCCCGTCTGTCTTGGTCCAAGTTTTTCTGTGGCTTCTTTAGATCACTTAGGCAAATGCTGCCGGGTATCATTTCGTCCATCTCATCTTTCTCACTCGAATCACCACCCATTCCCACAATTCCTGAAAGGAGGCTGCAGAGAACATTCCTGTGTAGTCCGGAGGGACTTTCCGCCTACCAGGATTACTAGCTGGTGGGAATGAAACACCCAAAAGTTTTATATATATATATTAAATGACTTTAGTATTTGGTGTAATTCCCACCAGGCTAGGTTAAATTAGGTTACGTTAGGCTGAGTCCTTTAATTCTACAAACAATTTATTTGCCTATTGGAATGCCTACATTTGAGTAATTCTTCTCTTGAATGGGAGAGTTTCGGCAGGTATAAGACCTCCATCACTGTGTTCCTCTTGATGTGAGTTTTAATTTGATATTTCACACCCCCTGGTAGGGGGGTTTCATGTATATCTCTTTTAAGGGTTGTTTCCGGCAGGCACGACAGTTATCAGTGTGTTTCTCTTGACCTATGCATTTACTTAGCATCCTCAATTCTTAAAAATTAAAGTTTCGCTGTTTTTAATTTCTTCTTTCATTCTTTTGAAAATATTTTCAAAGTATGGATAGCGCAAAAATATGCAGTCTTATTATTTGTGCTTATATAGATTTATATAATTTTTATAGAACAGTTAGTACCGTTATTGGAATAAAGAAATCGTGTTCCGTTTTCTGTCATTTGAACAAATAATAAAATTTATTTAGAAAGCTTTACCATGATTTAATAGTTGGTTTTTTCTTTATTGGTTTTTGAGTTAAAGTAAACTTCGGCAGTTATATATACGAATTACGCTTGTAAGCATTGTAGGTTTTATTATCAAAGAGAGTGTTTTAAAAATCAACTTTCACCGCACAATCGTCAAATAATGCTATAGGTAATAAACTTAGCATCTACTGAAGTTAAAAAAGAAAGAAAAAGCGAAAGCAGTGAAACTCTGAGCAAAATGGAAATCGAAAGGTTAATAACTCCTGGAATTATGTTGACTTGCGAAATTTATTTTATGACGTACCTACTACTTATTATAAGTAATAAGTAGAGATGATGAATATAAAAAATGTAATCTCAAGAAGTCTGCCTTAAATAAGATTTTTGGAGCGTCTACTTTGGAGTTTTCTGATACCAAAACAGTTATTAGAAAATTTTAATTAGATTTTTACCACATCATATATCCTTTTGAGGGTTAAATTAAAAGTATATATCTTCAATGGGATGTCGAAAAAACATCTGCTGTTTCAGAAAAAGTTACATTCCATTTTTTTTTTTCACAGAAAATTGTATACTTAATATTAAGAAAAAGTTAAATTACCGAATTGTCTGTCTGTCTTATTGTATATCAAAAATTTAATTCGCTCCGCATAATCAACAATTACCATTGAATAGATATGAACAATTCATATTAGTGTGTTTTAAAATTACGAATACATTAAAGTATGGAACCTTTATGGTAGAGAATTTTTATTAAATTGATTTGATTCAAAGATAAAAACTACTCTAACCGGTAGGTCCAGGTTTACTAAAATTTACTAGACAATAGTCTAGTACATTTTAATAAATTCTTCAGCAGTATTTCTTCTTGAAGGAATCTGAAGATTAATTTTTGTGTATAAGGCTTTGAAAATGCTTATTGAAATAATGGTATCGTTAAAATAATTATTTTTTGGCGCCAAAATTGTCATTTTCTTCATTTAATTCGTTTATTTTATAGTAGTATTTTTTTATTCAAATTATATTTAAAATAATGTTCAAAAACAACTGTTTGGAAAGAGAGAAAATTTTAAGAACTTTGGCATTATCTGTTAAAAATCAGAGTGCTCATGAAACTGTCATATTCTTTTAATCCATTTACCTCTGAATGTGTTTTGATAGTATAGCATCAGTAGGTATAGGTCCCGTTACATGAACTATTTTTATTTGGACTCTGTGTTAGACTATCATAAATATCATTCGTATGATTCTTATAAAAAACTATACTCCTACAACTATCTTTTTATAAAAATAAAAAGATAAAAAAAATATTTTTTACCTACAAAAAAACATTACATTTTTTTTTGACACCAAAATAAATACACCGAAAAGGTATCAAGTTATAATCAATAAATTATGTTACTTATAAATTCACTAATATTATTTTTTAGAGTAATAAGAAAACAGTGGAGTATGTAGAATTTTGTGTGTTTATTTTTTAGCTGAAAATTTAATACAAATTCAAATTAAAAATTTTTCCGCCAATAAATATGTATATATATTATAATTATACGTAGAAGTAGAACGTTAATTTTTGGTTTTTTAATAAATTTTATTGTTTTATACTTTTTACGTTTTTATGGCATACCTGGCATAGGAGTAAAGTATACTATGGTTATCACTGCAGCAAGCATCCCTAGAACTATTCCAATTCGGAAATACACATTTCTTACTTCGTACATTTTATCTTTGCCGTTTTCCATATAGGCAATCAAAATTTTGTACGGCAGAAACATCACATCG